AGAGGGTGGAGTGGGGGTAGTGGGGGGCTAGTGCAGCTATATACACTTTTTTTTATGTTTATTTATTTTTAAGGAGAGGGAGAGACAGAGAGAGGGGGAGACACAGAATCCAAAGCGGACTCCAAACTCTGAGCTGTCAGGGCTCCAAGCTTTGAGCTGTCAGCACAGAGCCCTACACAGGGCTTGAACTCATGAACTGTGAGATCATGACCTAAGCTGCAGTCGAACGCTTAACCAACTGAGCCACCCAGGCACCCCTATATATACTGTCTTAAATCTCAGGGGAAGAGTGTTTCTTCAATTCTTTTTAAAACTTTGTACGGGGCACCTGGGTGGCTCAGTCGGTTGAGTGGCCGACTTCCGCTAAGGTCATGATCTTGAGGTCCGTGAGTTCGAGCCCCGCGTCGGGCTCTGTGCTGACAGCTCAGAGCCTGGAGCCTGTTTCAGATTCTGTGTCTCCCTCTCTCTCTGACCCTCCCCCGTTCATGCTCTGTCTCTCTCTGTCTCAAAAATAAATAAATGTTTAAAAAAATGTTTTTAAACTTTGTATAATGATATATCCTTGTGACTTTTTTTAAGTTTATTTATTTGAGAGACAGAAAGAGAGAGAACAGGGGAGAGGCAAAGAGAGAGAGAGAGAAAGAGAGAGAGAGACTCCTAAGCAGGCTCCATGCTGTCAGCACAGAGCCTGACGTGGGGCTCAAACTCACAAACTGTGAGCTCATGACCTGAGCCCAAGTTGAGTCAGAGGATTAACCGACTGAGCCACCCAGGCACCCCTGTGACTTTAAAAAACTTTGTTGTAAACATGTTCTACATGTGTTACTAATCCAACTTTCCATATCTCGTTCCCTAATAATTATATGAACTTGGGAAATTTCTTATGTTCCATATTTGAGTGGTAACTAGCTTATGATAATAGCTGACATCTACTGAGCACTTACTATGTGCCAGTCACTGTTCTAAAGCACTTCACAACAGTCTTATGTACTAGATTTTTTTAATGTTTGTTTATTTATTTATTTATGAAAGAGAGAGAGAGAGAGAGCACGCACGAGCATGGGAGGGACAGAGAGAGAGAGGGAGACACAGAATCCAAAGTAGGCTCCAGGCTGCCACCCAGACAGAGCCACCCAGGAGCCCCACAAACTAGATTTTATCCTTATCCCCATATTACAGATGGGAAAACTAAGCCCCAGAGTAGAGGCATGATTTACTTACCTAACATCACACAGCTTGCCAGTGGCAGATTCAAGTGTTCAATATCTGAATACTTGTGGTCTGGTCTAGAACCCACCCTTTTGAACACTGTGCTATCATTTATTGTTTTTCAAACTTGAGCATGCATTAGAATTATCTAGAGGGCTGTGGAAACACAGATTGCTAGGGCCTATTCCCCAAGTTTCTGATTCAGTGGTCAAGAATTTGCATTGCTGAGAAGTTTCCATGCACCCCATTGCTGGTGGTCTGGGGAGAACACTTTAAGAACCGCTGTTGTAACTCATAACTGTTTTCATAATTTCCCAGTGGAGAGAGAAGGATTGAGACTGTCGAATTCTATGAGGGATCTAAGAGTTGAGATCATTAACGCTTTATAATAATAGCCAATAATAGCCAACATCCATTGATGCTTATGATGTGCTAGACCCTGGACTAGGCACTTCTCATGCCTTATGTCATCAAACCTTCATGCCAGTCTTGGGGAATACTTTTATTTTTTCCAGTTTCCAGTGAAGACATGTGGATTTGGAGAGATTGGGGAACTTGATCAAACTTACGTACCAGCAAGTGGCAATTGTGAGGTTCAAGTCATACTGCTCAACTCCAGAGCCCAGTTGACCACGACACTATAGACTTTGCACATAGTAGGTGCTCTGTCTCTCTGGATTTGCCTCTTGACATTTCACACAAACGGAATCATACAATAGGAGGTCTTTTGTGACTGGCTTGACTTGGTGTAACTTCCCAGTAATGAGTTATGACATATGTGAAATGTTGTCTGTGAGAGAAGCTCATTTAGAGACTGTGCCAGAAGTTCTTAAGGGGGCTCGTCATGCAGGTACCTTCTGCCTAGCGCATACCAAAATTCCAGACTCCCAGGAGGAAGCCAGTGAACTATGCTGTTTGCATGAACAATTAAGGAACACTGAGCTACTCTTTTCAGATGGGGTGGTGGGAACCCTCCCCAAACACAAGTTCCCAGGTCCTAGCTAAGGCCAAGCTTGAAAGCAGGATTTTCCAATGAGAGCATTCCCGGGCCTGCTATGTTAACTGTTTTCGCACAAATTTCGATAGGGATTATGCTGATTCTGGAGATCAGTTGGAAATGTAAGATGGAGAATATTGCCATCTTAACCATCTTGTTATAATTTATAACACGTGATGTCTTTCATTTATTTACATCTTAATTCCTCAATGAGATTTTGTAGTTTTCAGTGTGCAGGTCGTCTTCTTCATTTGTTAAATTTATTTTTAAATATTTTATTCTTGGGGCGCCTGGGTGGCGCAGTCGGTTAAGCGTCCGACTTCAACCAGGTCACGATCTCGCGGTCCGTGAGTTCGAGCCCCGCGTCGGGCTCTGGGCTGATGGCTCAGAGCCTGGAGCCTGTTTCCGATTCTGTGTCTCCCTCTCTCTCTGCCCCTCCCCCGTTCATGCTCTGTCTCTCTCTGTCCCAAAAATAAATAAACGTTGAAAAAAAATTTTTTTAAATATTTTATTCTTTTTGATGCCACTGTTAAGTGGAATTGTTTTCTAAATTTTATTTTCAGATTATTCCTTGCAAGTATATAGAAATGCAATTGGTTTTTGTATATGGATCTTGTATCTTGGAACCTTGAGCTGTTTATTAGCTCTAATAGTTGTGTGTGTGTGTGTGTGTGTGTGTGTGTGTGTGTGTGTGTAATCTTTAGCCTGTTACTATGGTGGATGACATAGATTATCTTTTCTGAACCAGCCTTGCATCCGTGGAATAAACCCTGCTTAATCATGGTGTATAATAATTTTTATGTAGTGCTGAATTCTGTTTGCTAATATCATGCTGAATATTTTACATCTATTTTTACTTTACCCATGTTTTATCTAGATTTTTTTTGTTTTTTGTTTGTTTTTAAGTAGGCTCCAGGGATGCCTGGGTGGCTCAGTCGGTTAAGTGTCCAACTCTTGGTTTCAACTCAGGTCATGATCTCACAGTTCGGTTTGTGAGATCCAGTCCCTCATTGGGCTCTACGCTGACAGCATGGAGCCTACCTGGGATTCTCTCTTTCCTTTCTCTCTGCCCTTCCCCCACTCACACTCATGTGCTCGCTCTCTCTCTCTCTCTCTCTCTCTCTCTCTCTCTCTCAAAATAAATAAATAAACTAAAAAAAAGTAGGCTCCATGACCTGAGCCTAAATCAAGACAGCGACATTTAACCGACTGAGCCACCCAAGTGCCCCTAGGTTTTTTTATTATTGCACAGTAGGAGTTCTTTGTATAATCTGGATAATAACCCCTAATAACCCCTTATCGGATTTGACTTGCAGATATATTCACGCATTCTGTAGGCTGCTTTTACACTGTTAATTGTGGTCTTGGACACAAGTTTCACAAGTTTTATTTTCTTATTTTTATATATTTTTGGATGCACAAGATGTTTTTTTAATGTTTTTTTTTATTTATTTGGTTTTTATTTTTGAGAGAGAGGAAGAGAGAGCGAGCAGGGGAGGGGGGAAGAGAGAGGGAGACACAGAATCTGAAGCAGCTACAGGCTCTGAACTATTAGCCTGTCGTGGGGCTCAAACTCATGGACCGTGAGATCGTGACCGGAGCCGAAGTTGGAAGCTTAACTGACTGAGCCACCCAGGTGCCCCTGTTTTTTTTTCTTTTAACTTTCAAAGACAGAGTGTGAGCAGGGGAGGGGCAGAGAGAGAGGGGGAGACAGAGGATCAGAATTGGGCACGATGCGGGGCTCGAACCCACGAACCCTGAGATCGTGACCTGACCTGAGGTCAGATGTTCAACCTACTGAACCACCCAGGCACCCTGAATGCACAAGTTTTAAGTGTTGATGTAGTCCTGTTTATGTATTTATTCTTTCATTGCCTGTGCTTTTGAAGAAATCGTTGCTAAATCCAGTGACATAAAGCTTTTCCCCTATGTCTTCTTCTAAGAGGTTTATAGCTTTGTCTTTTGTATCTATTTTGAGTTAATTTTTATATATGGTGTAAGGCAAGGGTCCACCTTTATACTTTTGCATGTAGGTATCCAATTTTTCCAACAACATTTGTTGAAAAGACTGTCCTCCGCCCCCACCCCACCCCCCGCCCAAGAATGGTCTTAGCACCCTTGTTGAAAATTATTGGACCATATTTGCTAGGGTTTATTTCTGGGCACTCTGTTCTAATCCTTCATTCCTTTTTATGGTGGAGTAATATTCCGTTGTTTGGATATACCATATTTTATTTATGGCAAGTCTAACGTTTTATCTCCTTATTTAATCACTGGGCGTTGTCACGTCTGTGATTTATGGATTACTGAGTCCTTGCCCAGGGGCCTGGCTCCAATCTTTAGAACACTGTACCCTGAAAATAGTGTCTTTTCTGTTTGCCTGCTTTGCTCTTTGCTTGTTTTATCCGTGGCCACTCACCATTGTGATGGTAGAACCTCAGTGTGGAGAAAATCAGGTACATCTACCCCCAAAGAAAGGTAGCAATATATTCCCGGGAAAGACCAGCACCATTGCAGAGTTTTCTGCCTATGACTATTACAAATTCCTAATCAAACCTAAAAGAACTCGTTTTGTAATCCACACTGCTAATATTCTTACTAATACCCTAACTGTAGAATGCTTTCTAATTTTCAAAGCAGTGATTTTTGTCTTGTTTATTACTCCTAACACCCCAGCCCACGTGCCACGTGTCTCTCACACAACTGGGGTTTGTTGGAGAACACTTTCTGCGTACTTCCGAAGTACTTTTGTCACATGCAGTATCTCATGATCTCACCTCGTATGTTCCTGCAGCAACCTCACCACGTAAGTGCTCTTACTCCCCGAGCAGGAAGCTGAGGGTTAAGTAATCTGCCAAGCCTGCAACGCTGCCTAAGGGGAGGAGCCCAGGAATCGGCCAAGTGCACAGCGCAGGGATTCTCCATTTTATTGAGAGTCAGATGCCACACACAGGTCCTGGTGACAACCGACCCGGGAGTTGTGCGCGACCCGGGCCTCCCGACTCCCGCGCGCAGCCACCAACAGCAGTCCTCTGTTTTGCCGTGGGCTTCCCAAAGTATCCCCCACCCCCCATCCCCCAACCCCACAGAGACCCGGATATTCCTCCACGTACAATGCAAATTCTATGGCTGGAAAGCGTGAGCACAGAAGAAAAAGTTGTGGGCTTTTCACCTTGCTTTTCCAGACTCGCTGTGGAAACTCCGCTGCGTCTCCATAGAAACCCGGCGGCGGTGGCGGCCGTCACCGGGGGCGGGGCTCAGGCGGAGGCCCCTCCCCCTCCCCGGTTTGCAACCCCTCCCAGCCAGGAGAAATCGCGGTCACCCTTAACCTCTGCGTTCCTCTTCTCGGCTGCCCTCCCTTTCTGTTGTCTTTTCGTGCCCCAAACCACATCCTGGAGGCCGCCCTCCTGCACGGTTCTCAGCGGGGCCGGTGCACCAGGCGTCCGGGCCCGGGAGCCGTAGCGCTCGGCCTCTCTGTCCCGGGCCCACCCCTCGGCCGCGCTGATTGGCCGCTCCTGGGCCACCCTCCGTCCCCGGGCAGGCAGGGTCTCAGCCTGCGGAAAGTTTTCTGCGCCGGGAGGAAGTTAGACTTTTGGAGATTGTGAGAAAGCAGTTCTCGTGGCTGCAGGGTTCTGGGCGACCATGGAGGAGCCCCCTTTGCGAGAGGAGGAAGAGGAGCAGGGGGAAGAAGAGGAGGAAGAAGGAGACGAGGCTGGGCCCGAGGGGGCTTTGGGCAAGAGCCCCTTCCAGTTGACCGCCGAGGACGTGTATGATATCTCCTATGTGATGGGCCGCGAGCTGATGGCCCTGGGCAGCGACCCCCGGGTGACACAGCTGCAGTTCAAGATCGTCCGCGTTCTGGAGATGCTGGAGACGCTGGTGAATGAGGGCAACCTGACCGTGGAGGAGCTGAGAATGGAGAGGGACAGCCTCAAGAAGGAGGTGGAGGGACTGCGGACAGAGGGCTCAGCGGCCGGCAGGGAGGTGAGTGCGGGCTGCAGGGCGTGGGAGGAGAGTACCCAGGGTCCCCGAGCCCCTGAAAACAACCACAGCGCCTGTCCAATCCTCAGATTAGAAGCATTGTGATAGCTACATTTATTGAGCACTTACTAGGTGCTGGGCCCTGTGCCGAGTTTGTTCTGCATCAGGGCCTCCCAGCATTTTTGACGTGACCGAGAGCGGTGGCTCTCCTGCTTTAGCGTGCCGCGGAATCGTCTGGGGTGTTCATGAAAACACACATCACTGGGCCCTAGCCCCAGAGTTTTAGATTCCAGAGGGGGCCTGGAAATCTGCATTTCTAACAGGTTCCATCACATTTTGAGAATCTCGACCTCTAGTAAGAAATAAATTCTAAGGGAGAGAAATCAGTGCCGAGGCCACCAAAAGACACCTACAAGAATGTTCAGAGCACGTTTCTTCAGAAGTGTGCTGAGCTGGAGCAAATGCTACAGAAGAATGGATTTTTAAATTGTGGCATAGTCACTGTGGAATACTACACAGCAGGGGAAAAGTGCAGCTGTGGGCATGACTCTCAGTGGTGTTACACAGGGAGACAGGAGACCGGCACAAAAGAGAATCTACTGTGTATTTACGTGAAACTGCAGCACAGGCAAAATAACCTGTTTTTATAGAAGACAGATTGGTGGTAACCCCAGGGAGGGGAGAGCAGGGGGAAGGTTCATGGGGAGCTCATCTGGGTGTGGTCATATGGGTGTATACCTATGTTAATAATTATCGAGCTAGGGGCACCTGGCTAGCTGTCAGAGGAGCGTGTGACTCTTGTTCTCAGAGGTCATGAGTTCAAGCCCCACTTGGGGGTAGAGATTACTTAAAATAAATAAGTTTTTAAAAAAAATCATCCAGCTATAAACTCAAGATTAGTGCATGTGTGTTATACCTCTATTTTACAGAATTACCTATTATATCACTATCCAATATTGATGAAACAGAAGTTTCAAGAAACAATTTACCCTAACTCACCCTTATTAAACATGATGCACAATCACACTTGCCTGTTCTATTTTTATGAGTTTTTTAAACTATTATTTAAAAATTTTTTTCTTTAATCCTTATTTATTTTTGAGAGAGAGAAAGAGCAAGAGCGGGGAAGGGACAGAGAGAGAGGAAGACACAGAATCTGAAGCAGGCTCCAGGCTCTGAGCTGTCAGCACAGAGCCCAATCAGGGGCTCGAACTCACAAAGCATGAGATCGTGACCTGAGCCAAAGTCAGACGCTTGACCGACTGAGCTACCCAGGTGCCCCGGAGTATTTTTTTATTTTACAGTGAGAGAGAGCATGAGCAGGGGAGGGGGCAGAGATAGAAAGAATCTTTTTTTAAAAAATGTTTATTTATTTATTTTGAGGGAGAGAGAGAGCAGGGGAGGGAGAGAGAGAGAGAGGGAGAGAGAGAGAATCGCAAATAGGCTCTGCACTGTCAGCACAGAACCCAGCACAGGGCTCAAACTCAATAACCACGAGATCACGACCTGAGCCGAAGTCAAGGGTAGGTTGGACCCTTAACAGACTGAGCCACGCTGGTGCCCCATGAAAGAGAGAGAATCTTCAGCAGGCTCCATGCTCAGTATTGGAGCCTGATGAAGGGCTTGCTCCCATGACCCTGAGATTATGACCTGAGCCCAAATCAAGAGTTGGTCGCTCAACCAACTGAGCCACCCAGGTGCCCCTATTTTTATGAGTTTTAAAATTCTTGTTGCAATTGATTGAATTAAGACCATGAATTACTAGTGGTCTCCAGCCACAATTGAAAAAAAACAAAACTGTTCTAAGTGGACATCTCACTTAATCCTCTTACTATCAGCATATCCATTTTATAGAAATGGAGGCATAGAATAGTTAAGTGATTTGCCAGGTGACTTTCTCGGAGTAAGAGATGAAGGCAGGGTTTGAGCTCAGAGATGCTAGTCTCAACCTCTGCACACTAAATGCAGACATTTGACCTCATTTGCTGGAATGACATTTGATGAGCAACTTCATAGAGCTGGATCCTGGGGCTGCAGAGGTAAATTAGACAGGAGCCTTCCCTCCCAGAGCTCACATCGAGTGGGAGAGCTAAGACACCCACACCTCCCGAATCACAAACCAAGAAGTGTGCCGGGAAAGGACAACAGGAACAGGGCGCTGACATTCGCGGGGGGAAAAAAGAGTGAAAGTTTCTGGTCACTTCTCTGGCAAACTTTTATTTCACCTACTCACGTGTCAGAGTGACAACAGTGTTTGTGGATACATTTCTGCTTTAGTGTCCGTCATATAAGGTGGCTGAGTATCATGAGTACCATTCATAGCCTGGCTTTGAAGACTCGAGAGAAGTTAAACGTCTTGCTCAGGATGGCTCAGCTCACATTCTGAGCTCATTCCCGTCACCTCCGATTCCAGGAACGAGGATATGGAGGGAGCCCCACACGGACCATGTACAGTGTGCTCTGCCCAGGGGCCGGGTGATTTTCTGTAGTGGGCACAGCGGACAAGCTTTATCAGGCAGCAGATGAGATGGCATGTTCCTCCCAAACCTTAAACCCTAAGCCCAGAAGTGGGGAAAGGGGCAGAGAGAATGAATGTTTAGCGCCACTAGGCAGTTCATAAAAATACATCTTCTTCCTCTTTTTCTTTTAACTGTGGTAAAGTACACATGAAATTTGCCATCCTAACCATTTCTAAGTGCACAGTGAAGTGGCATTGAAGTATATTCACGCTGTTGTGTAACCATCACCACTGTCCTTGCAGAATTCTTTTCATCTCACAAAACAAACTCTGTCTCTGTGAAACACCAGCTCCTTATTCCCCCCTCCCCGTGTCTATTTTCTATCTCTGTGAATTTGCCTATTCCAGCTACTACATATAAGAGAATAATATGTGTTTCCTTTTGTCACTGGCTTATTTCACTGAGCACAGTGTCTTCAAGGGTCATCCATGGTATAGCAGGTGTCAGAACTCCCCACCTTTTAACAGCTGAGTAATAGTCTGTTGTGTGGAGATACCATATTTTGTTTGTCCGTGCATCTGTTGGTGGATGCCTGGTTTGCTTCTACTTTTTGGCTAGGGTGAATAATGCTGCTATGAACATGGATGTATAAATATCTCTTCAAGCCCCTGCTTTCACTGCTTTGGGTATATAATTAGAAGTGGAATTGCTGGGGGGACCCAGCTCAGTCGGTTGAGCGTCCGACTTTGGCTCAGGTCATGATCTCACGGTTCATGAGTTTGAGCCCCGCGTCAGGCTCTGTGCAGACGGCTCAGAGCCTGGAGCCTGCTTCGGATTCTGCCTCCCTCTCTCTCTGCCCCTCCCCCGCTCCTGTGCTTGAGGTCTCTTGCTCTCTCGTTCCCTCTGTCTCTCAAAAGCAAATATATAAACATTAAAAAAAAAAAGTATATGGGTACCTGGGTGGCTCATTCTGTTGTGTCTGACTTAGGCTCAGGTCATGATCTCACAGTTTATGAGTTCGAGCCCCACGTTGGGTTCTGCGCTGACAGCTTGGAGCCTGGAGCCTGCTTCAGATTCTGTGCCTCCTTCTCTCTCTGCCTTTCCCCACTCACACTCTGTCTCTCTGTCTCTGTCTCTCTCAAAAATAAATAAACATTAAAAAAAAATTTTTGTTTAATTTTTTTTTTCAACGTTTATTTATTTTTGGGACAGAGAGAGACAGAGCATGAACAGGGGAGGGGCAGAGAGAGAGGGAGACACAGAATCGGAAACAGGCTCCAGGCTCTGAGCCATCAGCCCAGAGCCCCACGCGGGGCTCGAACTCACGGACCGCGAGATCGTGACCTGGCTGAAGTCGGACGCTCAACCGACTGCGCCACCCAGGCGCCCCTGAAAATTTTTTTAAAAAGAAGTGTAATTGCTGGATCATGGGATAATTCTGTTTTTAATTTTTTAAGGATCTGCCATATGGTTTTCCATAGTGACTGTACCATTTTACATTCCCAACAGCAGTACACAAGAATTCCATCTCCTTTCAATACTTGTTCTTTTCTGTTTTGTTTGTTTACAATAGCCACCCTAATGGGTGCGAGGTAGTTTTTTCCTTTCCCTTTTAAAACTTTAAGTTTAGGGGTGCCTGGGCGGCTCAGTCAGTTAAGCGTCCAGCTCTTGGTTTTGGCTCAGGTCATGATCTCACAGTTCAGGGGCTCAAACCCCGCTTCAGGCTACATGCTGTCATGTGCTGACAGCACGGAACCTGCTTAGAGTTCTCTCTCCCTCTCTCTCTGCCCCTCCCCTGTTCTCTCTCTCTTTCTCAAAATAAATAAATAAATAAAATAAATGGAAGTTCAAAGTTCAAAAGGTAACAAAAGTGTTCGCCTTGAAAACTTTTCCTCCCCAATTCTCTCCACCCCCAGCCAACCACTTACCCTCCCTGGAAAAAATTAAAATGATCAGTTTCTTGTGTGTCCTTCCAGAGGTACTTTATGCAAACAAAAGCAGATATGAAAATATTTTTTTTCTTTTTTATACAAATGGTATTATAATATATAGCCAGCTCTGCCTTTTGTGTATTTTCACTTAACATAGCATGAAAGTTGAGTTAAATCAGGATGAAGAGCTTCTTCATCTTTTAATGGCTTTGAAAACTTCCATTGTACAATATCAATTATTCAGCCTGAGGGTTCTTAACTCAAAGTTCTTAGATGCCCAAGGGAATCGTGATTCTAACCCAAGAGGTCCATGCCCTGGCATGGGAAAAAATTATATTTTCATTTTCATTAACCTCCACCTGAAATGTGTCATTTTCCTCAGTTGCAAATATAGACGACAAACCACAGTAATAATAGCAGTACCTGTGGCAGTCACCAGTGGAAACCGCAGATATTTTCAAGTCCTGTAACAATATAGTTCCCATCTTAAAGCTTTGTTTTTGTTCAGTATTTTACTAGACCTGCCTCTAGATCACCTTATTTTTTTTTTTAAGTTTATTTATTTTGAGAGAGATCTCAGGAGCAAGTGGGGGAGGGACAGAGAGCGAGGGACAGAATCCCAAGCATTCTCCACACTGTCTGTCACCACAGAGCCTGACATGGGGCTTGAACTACGAACCATGAGATCATGACCTGAGCCAAAAATCAAGAGTCAATGCTTAACCGACTGAGTCACCCAGGTGCCCCTAGATCACCTTATTTGATAAAGAAGTAGATATAGGGGCTCCTGGGTGACTCAGTTGGTTGAGTGTCCAGCTCTTGATTTCAGCTCAGGGCATGATCCCAGGGTTGTGGGATTGAGCCCCGCTTCAGGCTCTGTGCTGAGTGTGGAGCCTACTTAGGATTCTCTCTCTCTTCAGCTCTGCCCCTCTCCCTGGCTCACACTCTCTCTCAGGCTCACACTCTCTCTCAAACAAAACAACAACAACAACAACAACAACAGAAGAAGAAAATATACATCAAAGTATATACACACACAAAACACATATATGTATATGTATATATGCATATACAAAAGTAATATTTATATATATTATTTATTCACTCACAGTTTTTCTCAACTATTTGAGCAGACATTATGTTAGTTGCAGGATTAGTAGAAGGTTAGGACCCTTTACCCTAAAATCTCACAAGACGCACTATTGCATCGTGACAGTAAATGATTAAATTCAGGGGAAAAAGGTCATAGAATACTAAGATCTAATATACTATCCCTATTCAAAATTCATGATAATGCCCTTTACAGCATCTTCTTTCTGGTGCAGAATCTAGTCCAGGGTTACATAGTACCTTTAGTTGACACATTTCTTTAATTTTGAAGAGTTCCTCAGCTTTTCCTTGTGTTTTACAACCTTGACATCTTTGAAGACTATATATCAGTTTGTTTGTAGAACGTCCTTCAATTTAGGTTTGTTTTGATGTGCCATCGTCATCGTTAGATTCAAGATACGCAGTTTAGCAGGAATACCACTGAAGAGATGCTGTGTCCTTCTCAGTGCGATGTATCAGGAGGCACCTGCTTCAGTTTGTGATTATTGGTGATGTTACCTTGCATCACTTGGTTAACGTGGTGTCTGCGAGATTTCTGCACTGTAAAGGTGCCTTTATTCCCTTTGTAATTCGTAAGTTGTTGTAGGAAGATGCTTTGAAACTGCAAAATATTCTATTCCCCAACAGATTTTCACCCTAAAGTTTTAGATCCATTCCTTAGTCTTGCCTGAATCAATTATTACTAAGTTGGTTGCAAATGGATATTTTTTTTTTAAACTCTGTCATCTTCTGCACTTATTACTTGGCCTTCTGCTGTAAGGTACAAATTCCCCTCCTCCTCTCCTGTACTCATCAGATCTCTCCAGAGACACAGAGCCAATAGGAGAAATAGCTCTCAATATAAAGAGGATAGTTATTTGAGGAATTGGCTCATGCGGTTATGGAGGCTGAGAAATCTTACTTAAAATCTGCAAGTTGCAAGCTGGAGAACCAGTGAGTCCTGTGAACTGGGGGTGGGGGGCTGATGGTGGAAATCCTGGTCTGGATCCCAAACCCCAAGAACCAGGAGTGTCAATGTCTGAGGACAAGAGAAGAAGAGATGTCCTGTATCAACTGACGGAGCTCAAATTCACCCTCTTTCCCCCTTTCCTTCCATGTGGGCCCTCAGGCCCTCAGTGGATTGGATGATGCCCGCCCCGCCCCCCCAGCTGCTTTACTCAGCTCATCAAACCAAATGCTAATATCTTCCAGAAACACCTTCACAGACACACCCAGAAATGTTTAACCAGCTTTCTGGGCATCCCTTAGCCCAGACAAGTAAAATTAGACACATAAAATTAGCCATCACATCCCCATTAATTAGTTAATTGATTTAAATTTTAAGTATGAACTCCTGAATTCTCTTTTTATGTGAACTGTTACTGTCCATTCCTGTTATTACTCGTTTTGATACTCAAATTGTTCTCAGTCTGGCCAAGGGGAACTCCTTCAAACTGTCATTTTGACATTTTGTTCCCTTCCACAAGGAAACGTTCCAGGCTCATCTTATAGTTTTCCTGTTCCAACCCTGAAATCAGCCATTCTCCAAGGAGCCTTGGTTGTTTACTTGGAGAATGGTACTTAGAACTTTTGCTTCTTTACCATCAACCAAACACTTCCAACAGGCAGCGTCTCATCCGATAGGATGCCTGGGAGTAACAAAACAGAATTTTCCTTTCTGGGGTGGACAGTCCATCTTTTTACTTTTTTTTAAGAAAATGTTTTTAATGTTTATTTTTTTTTGAGAGAGAGAGAGAGAGAGTGCGAGCAGGGGCGGAGCAGAGAGAGAGGGAGACAGAATCTGAAGCTGGCTCCTGTCAGCACAGAGCCCGACGTGGGGCTCGAACCCACGGACCACGAGATCATGGCCTGAGCTGAAGTCGGACGCTTAACCGACTGAGCCACCCAGGGACCCCAACAGTCCAAGTGCATGAGGGAAACTGTATAAGCAACCCGATATCTTTTCTTACAGGTAAACCTGGGACCAGACAAAATGGTGGTTGACCTGACAGATCCCAACCGGCCACGCTTCACTCTACAGGAGCTAAGGGATGTGCTCCAGGAGCGCAACAAACTCAAGTCCCAGCTGCTGCTGGTGCAGGAAGAGCTGCAGTGCTATAAGAGGTGGGGCTCTGATGCCGTGGGGACCCCTGCACTGAAGGATCAGACCCCGTCTGGAATTCCGTGATGTGCTATGTATTCGTTCTTGTGTTCACTCAGCCAGTTTCTCAAAGACCTAGTATTCCTGGGAAATAGCAGTGAACAAAACAGAGAAAGTCCATGCTAGTCTAGGGGAAGACAAGCAATCAACAAGGGAATCTGAAACGAACACACAGGATAATGGCGACAAGTGGTCTAAAAAATGTAAAACAAGGTGACATGGGGCGCCTGGGTGGCTCAGTCGGTTAAGCATCTGACTCTTGATTTCGGCTCAGGTCATGATCTCACAGTTAGTGAGCTAGAGCCCCACTCTGCTCACAGCGCAGAGGCTGCTTAGGATTCTCTCTCTGCCCCTCTCCTGCTTCCTCGCTCTCTCTCAAAATCAATAAATGAACAAAACAAAACAAAACATCTTTCAAAACAAGGGGAGGGGCGCCTGGGTGGCTCAGTAAGTTACGCATCCGACTTCGGTTCAGGTCACGATCTTCAGTTTGTGAGTTCAAGCCCCGCGTCGGGCTCTGTGCTGACAGCTCGGAGCCTGGAGCCTGCTTCGGATTCTGTGTCTCCCTCCCTCTCTACCCCTCCCCCACTCAGATTCTGTCTCTCAAAAATGAGTAAACATGAAAAAAAAAAAACCCAAGCAAACAAGGTGACATATGACAGCAAAGCAAAGTGCTAGGGAATGGAGGGATCCTGTTTTACATGGCATGGTCAGCTCAGACCCCTCTGAGGTCAATGACAAGAAGTAGCCAACCATGTAAGGACTGGTAGGGCAAAAGTGGAGCAGAAGTGCTAAGACCCTGATGTGGGAACCAGCTTGACCAATAAGAGATCCACCGTGGTGGAACTTGTATCGTAGGTGGAGGTGTGCCACACCTGTGGGCCACAGGAAGGAGCTCTAATTTTATTGTTAAGTGTAACGAGAAGTCATTGGAAAGTTTTAATCAAGGACATGACAAGATCCAGTTTACTGTTTTAAAAGATCAACACGAGGGACACCTGGCTGGCTCAGTCGGTAAAGCATGCAAGTCTTGATCTCGAGGCCATGAGTTCAAACCCCATGTTGCGTATAGAGCTTACATTTTTTAAAAAGTGTAGAATAAAATATCAATGTGGTAACTTGATAGCTGAACTACTTGTTTATGTCAGAAATGTCCTCGTTCCTCAGAAATACACACCGAAGTATTTAGGAATAAGGGGGTAAGGTGTCTCCAGCTTCCTCTCAAGTGGTTCAGAAAGAAGACAGATACGTGGATGGATGGGTAGATGGGTGGGTGGGTGGATGGGGATGGATGGATGGACAGGCAGGTAGGTAGACAGAGACATAGATGAACAATTGGGGGATTTGGATAAAGGGCATATAGGAAATCTTCATACTAATTTTACAATTTTTCTGTAAGTTTGAAATTATATAAAAATTAGAAGTTATGAAAGATCACAATAGGGGCACCTGGCTGGCTCAGTGGGTAGAACGTGTGACTCTTGATCTCAGGTTGTGAGTTCAGGTCCCATGTTGGATATGGAGATTACTTAAAAATAAAATCTAAAAAAAAAAAAAAAGATCACAATAACACATGTAGGGAAAAGATTGTAGGACAAGCAAGAGAGGCAAAAAGAAGCTGTTAACATGCCGGGTTTGGACTTTGCTATATCCATCTGCATCCTGTTTCCCAAAATATTTTCTTTCATGCTGTCACTTCTAGAAAAGGGGGCTCTGTGGTCGAATAACTCTGAGAAACCGTTGAGTTAAACAACGCAGGTTCTCTTAAAGGCAGAAGAGGGAAAGACAAAGAGAATGAAAAACTCAGCACCAGCTAATATTTATCAATGTATAAATATTATACGTGCCAGGACTCTGCTAGGCGTATTTGAAGCATCAGGTCCATTAGTGCTCACAGCAAGGTGAGTTACGGTAATGTTACCCGCAAGGTGTTCTAAGGTCCAGGAGGTCAATACCTGCCGAAGTCCCACGGCTCGTGGTGGCCACAGTAAGACATGACCTCAGACAGTGTGATTATCAGAGCCCGTCCTTTTAATTCTTGGCCACGTTTACAAGTAAGAACATAGGCTGATTCAAAACAAAGCAAAGTCCAAGTGATACCACTCTTTTTCTTTACCCCCCGCCCCATGACATTACGTTTAAATTTGCTTAAGGTAGAATCATTAAGAGGTCAGCGATACAGTAAAAAAAAAAAAAAAAAAAAAAGTTGTAGCGAGCCACATCCAGAAGGCCCGAGTTCTGGCAACAGGAACTTAATTTTCTTCCTTCTGCTGAGGTTGGAACCGTGTTAATGGAAAGACCTGTCTTCATCTCATTTTAGAAGTCCTTCAGACACAGGTAGTGAGATGTGGGAATGGCTGAACAGCTGGTGCTGGAGCAGCTTGTTAGCGAATAAAGAGACACACCTTATTTCCAGTTCCGAATTCCCAGAGAACGGTAGCTGTGCACGTCCCGTCTGGTACAGGCCAGTAGACAGCAGGACTCTGCTTACTCACGTGGGTCCTACATTCTGGAGAAACTAGCATGCCAGCTGAGGTGTTCTCCTAGCAACCGCATCAGTTTGGAGGTCCAGGCTCTAGTGGTTTTGTTTGTTTGTTTCGTTTTGTTTTTAACTAGGCTTCACACCCAATGCGGAGCCCAATGCGGGGCTCGAACTCATGACCGTGAGATCAAGACCTGAGCTGAGGTCGAGAGTCGGGCGCTTGACCCACTGAGCCAGCCAGGCGCCCCTAATGATAGTTTTGAATTGAGGCAGTGGTGGGAGGCTTCCAAAGATGGCCACGATTTTTCCCATCCTGCATGCCTTTGGCAATGAGACTTTTCCAGCCTCTAGAGGTAGAGTCTGTTTCCCCTTTCCTTCAGTCTGGGCAGCCCAGTGACTTGCCTTGACCAATGGAATGTAGTGGAAGTGATGCTGTGTGGCTTCTGCGGTGAGGGTGCCGGGAGACCTCGCAGCTTCCATTTTTATCCTTGTGGAATGCTTGAGACCATAGTTCTGTGAGGAAGCTCAAGGTAGTCCCACGGAGAGGTCACACAAAGGAGAAGTGAGGTGCCCCAGCTGTGTCTGGATGACCCATCAAGCCAACCATAAAAATGGAGTCATCGTAAGAAATCATAAATCTTCCTTGTTTCCAATCACTGTGTTTTAGGGTGTTATGCAACAAGAGATGATGGAAGGGAGGATTTTATTAATAATAAATCAATAATGTATTAATATTAATACTAAAGTAAATATATAAATAATAATGTCAAGTAATAAGAGCTCACTCTTTGCAAAGGACAGAGAAGGATGAATCCTGCTCTGACATTCATACCTCAAGAGGTGTCTTAGTCAGCTGGGTCGCCATAACAAAATACCATAGGCCGGGAGGTTTAAACAGTAGGAATATTCTTCTCATAATTCTGGTGGGTAGAAGTCAAGATCAGGGTGCCAGTATGGTCAGTTCTGACTCTTCCTGACTTCTTGCACATGGCAGAGAGAGCAAGCCCTCAGATGTCTCCTCTTACAAGGGCTCTGATCCAACCATGTCCCCCCTCCATGACCTCATCTAAACCTGGTTGTCTCCCAAAGGCCTCATCTCCAAATACCATTACACTGGGGCTTAGGGCTTCCATATGAATTCTGGGGGACACAATTCAATCTGTAGGGAGGAGGAAACACCACGCGCTTAAATTTGCCAGCAGGTGCCACAGCAAAATACCTAGGTGGATACGAGCTATGCCATTGAAATATTGCATTGTGGGGTGCCTGGGTGGCTCAGTCAGTTGAGTGTCTGTCTCTTGATTTTAGCTCAGGTCATGATCCCAGGGTTGTGGGATCAAGCCCTGCATTTGGCTGGAGTCTGCTTGAGATTCTGTCTCCCTCCCTCTGCCCCTCCCCTGCTTGCATGTACACACGTGCCCTCTCTCTCTCTAACATAAAAAAAGTTAAAAATTTGGGAGGTGTCTGGGTGGCTCAGTCAGTTAAGCCTCTTACTCTTGACTTTGGCACAAGTCATAATCTCACAGTTCATGAGAGTGAGCCGTGTGTCTGGCTCCGTGCCGACAGCGAGGAACCTGCTTGGGATTCTCTCTCTCTCTCTCTCTCTCTCTCTCTTCCCCCCTCCCTCCTTTCTCTCTCTCAAAATAAACAAATAAACTTAAAAAAAATTAAAACTAAAAATTTTTTGAAATATTGCATTGTGGTCAGGTTTCTTTTTGTTGCAAGTGACAGAAATCCAATTCAAACTAGCTTAAGTACAAAAGAGAATTTACTGACCCACAGAGTTGGAAACGATCTTGGGATTGCCTTCAGAAATAAAGAAAAAACTGCAGTTAAGGCCTCAGGGTTGGAGCCAGGGACTTGGTGCCTCTTTCTCTCCTCCTTGCTTCTCTTTGTTTGTTGGCCTCATTATCTTGTGTTGGAGACACACCTGCTAGGAATCTTAGGAAACATGGCTGCTGGCGACCCCAGTTGACCAAGTGAGAGAGAAGAGCTTTCTTCCAGCTTCTGTACATCAGGTCCAGGGAAATACTCTGGTCCTCTTTGAGTCAACCGACCTCAATATCTTATCAGTCAATATCAATTTAGCTCTTGTTACCATTTGACTTACTATATATTTTTTACTTTATTTATTTATTGACTCCTTCCTTCCCCAGTGGAAGAACATGAATTGCATGACAGGAGATAATTTTGTCTGTTTTGTTCACTGCTACAGTGCTTTGGCACAGGATGTGGCTTAATAAATATTTGTTGAGTGACTGTCAGGTGCTGTGTAATATCTCACTTAATCACTCAATCCTAGGTGGCAGTTACTCTTATTATTCTCACTTTATTGATTAGAAAATCAAGGCTTCAGTTACAGAATTGATATGTGGTCATATTCCTAGAGACTGGAGAAGGTTGAAGTACTAGCCAATGCAGTTGGACAAGAGAAAGAAAGAAGAGGGATCAGCTTTGGAAACATGGGAGGAAGAGTCTCATGATTGGAAACAGAATCTCTCTGACTCTAGCTTTCAGTTATTACTAATGTAATAATTATTAAGACCCTTCACTTTCAGAGCTGCATAGACAGAAGGTCTGCCATAAAACAACCCATTTTTTTGGCCCCTTTTCCCCAGCGGTCTGATTCCACCAAGAGAAGGCTCAGGAGGACGAAGAGAAAAAGATACCCTTGTCACCAGGCCCAGCAATGCCAGAAGTAACAAGGAGGAGAAGACCATCATAAGGAAGTTGTAAGTTACCCTGCTGCCCCATTGCCACCGAATAATTGCCAAAGGAAGGAGTGAGGGCCCGAGGAGGCTGGCCAGCTACCCAGGGTGGAGAGGCCCTGTTGTCCTGTTGGTGGTACTACAGCTGATAGGAAAATTCAGAGAAGTATTACAATATCTGTTAGACAGCAGTCTAAGCACTTAACATACATTAATTCATTGACTTTTCACAGTGACCTTAGGAGGTAGGAACTGTCATTATCCCCATTCTGCACGTGGTAAAATAGATACAGAGAGATAAGGTAATTTGCCTGAAGTCACACAGAGAGTAAACAGCGAAGTCAGGATTTGAACCCAAGGAAGTTCAGATTCTACACTGCTGCCTCCCTATGATATAATAATACTACAAATAATACTTATTAGGGTGTAAGGGGGACTCACGGGGTGCCTGGATGGCTTAGTTGATAGAGCATGCAACTCTTGATCTTGGGGATGTGAGTTCGAGCCCCACGTTGAGTGCAGAGTTTACTTAAAAAAAGGAGGGTGGCCTGATTCGTTACTTCTCTTACTTCCAACTTTGGAGGACCCTGTGTCTCCCAGCATTGGGCCACATAATGTAGTTTCCTTTGAATACTCCCCTCATGTTTATGCTCCCTTGTTAATCCGTCATTTCTCCGGGTGCTAAGCCTCAAACCATAGTGTGTGTGGTACTTGTTTAAAATTCAGATTCTCAGAAGTCAAGTCTCGGATGAAGCCCAGAAGTCTGGATTTCTAATAAATCCCCTAGGCAGCTCTGATGTGGAGAACCCTTGGACCACACCTCGAGAGGTGCCTTCTCGGTCACCAGGTGCCGGTACAACGAGGCACGGCTTTCTCTCACCCCTCCATGAAGCAAACAGCCCGTTTGCCTTGGCTGTCCTGGGAATGTCTGGCCTGGAGACAGTTACCTGCCCCCGATCTCTTGGATAGAAACTGAGAAACAGCCTCAGTCAGGGATCTCAAACTCAAATGCCTATGGGGGCCAGGCACTTCATGTTGATGAGTGATGGCGGGGGAGGGGGGGGGGACATTTGCCAGGGTCCTGGCAAGAAACAAATCGCACACGTTAAAGGGGTGACTGAAAAGATTTAAAGAAGGGACATCTTACAGACATGAGCGGGGTTACACTTTGGGGAGTCCTGGAAGGCTTTCGTGAGGAGGTGACATTCAAACTGGGCCCTGAAAGACCATGAAGACTGAGAGAAAAGCATTCTTGGCAGAGGGAACAGCATGCATAAAGGCGAGGCAGGAGGTGAATGGAGGGGAGGCTGGAGATTAGTGGTGGTAGTGGCGGGGGTGGGAGGATGGCGAGGGTCCCACTAAGCAGTTTGAATTTCACTCTGAGAACTTCGCTAAGACGTGGAGGGTTTTAAGCAGGGGGACAACTGGACCACATTTACCTGTAAAAGCTCATCTGGCTGCCTTATGGAGGAGGTGTGGGGGCAGAGTCAAAGCAGGGCCTGGGGCGTGTTTCTTTCCCAAGGAAGCCTCTCCTGAGGCAAAGTAGTAAAATGAAAGAGCACCTCCATTCCACACTAGGTGTCATTTCTGAAGGTGTTCTTTTAGCACTTTTATTGTCTGGACAGCCCATGTAGATAAGGCTTCCAGGAGGCATAAACTGCTGGTTTCTTTGTGCCTCTTCTAGGAGAGTTCTTTGGGCCCCTTAGAGAGTTTGAGCCTGATATGGAAGAAAAAAAAAAAAAAAAAAAAAGCCAGCCTGAGGTCATATGTCTAATGAGCACGAGGCCACAATTTCGTGGTCGGACCAGCTCATTGAATGAACGAACGAATGAATGAATGAATGACTTTCTGAGGAAGTAGGTCATGCTAAGAAGGACGTTTGTCTTTATCCTGAGAACAATGGGGAGCCATGGAAAGGTTTCAGCTGCAGAATGACTTAGCTCTGTATAGTGACACGGTCACTCTGGCTGCCGCGTGAGTGTGTTCTAGGGGGTGGCGGGAAGGCTGTTGGACTGGGGGGTGGCAGTGGAGGAGCTGAGAAGTGTTGGGATTAGGAACATATTTGGGGCATGGTGACTAACATGTAGCAGATGGGGGGGAGGAGCTGAGAACAACTCCCAGGTTCCCGGGCGTGAATGACGAGGCGGGGGATGGTGTCACTTCCTGAGACTGGGTACCGGTGGGGGTGGGCAGTGCATCCAGGTTCAGGGGAGAGTGGCTGAGCCCTAACGCCTGTATCCGAACACGCGTCCAGGGCCTGCCCCGGCCATCGCTAGCAGAGCGGCTCACGGTCCTCAAGGGGTTTATCTTTGACAAGAAGCACGAGGCCGCATTCCTGTCACTGCCTTCCCAACTCACCAGCCAGCTCTGGGTCTCTCTCATAGCTGAGCCTAGCAAGCGCTGAGACTGAGCGTTGCACTCAACCCCCAGACAGCAGGCTTCCTTTTCAAAGCTTTGCATATGAGGGGGGAGACACTGAACGCTTGGTATTCGTGTCTCGGGGGTATCTCTGTGTTTCATCTGAGAATTTACATGCCGATCTTTATTCATTGCAAAGATCCGTCTTATAATTGGAGGTCGCGCGCATGCTTCCTCCACAATAAACCTCCTGAAATTGAAAAAGGTGTCGGACACCATCTTTCGGCACAGCACAGGGGTTGAGTGGGCTCCGGGTCCTCCAACTCCTGGTTCCGCAACTTACCGTGTGACCTTGGGCCTGTTGCTGAACCTTGCAGGGCCTCAGTGTGCTAATCTATAAAATGGGGACATTGATGGTACGTAGCTCATCAAGCTGTTTTGAGTGTGAAGTGAGCTGACGGAAGGAAAGCCCTAGACAGTGTCGGCCCCTAGTGAGTCCGTGGCCCGCAAGAGCCTCTTACAGATCCTTCGGGGTTCTGCACCCCTCGTCTCATTCTCTGTGTGCCCTTGACCCCTCCCTCTCTTCACACAGGTTCTTTTTCCGATCAGGGAAGTAGACACAGCTCTAAGGCCACGACTAAGGCAGAGGGTCTCGGACTCAACAAGGCAACGCGCCAAGACTCCCAGACACATCTCTCGGTGCCACATATATGCACCGTCATCGCTCATTTGTTTCCCCTGAAAGCCACCAAGGAGGAAGGAGGGGAGGCGCTCTCATGCTCACTGTCTGCCAGGCTGCAGAACTGGACACCCCTGGGCGCTTGGCCTGGGCAAGGCAGGAGAAGGAAAGCAAAACAAGACCCAATTCCTGCTCCATTCCGCCTCGCTGGGGGGGGGGGGGGGCCCCTCCAGTGTGCGCATGCGCCTTCCACTTGTCTGGTCCCCAGGTGACCCTCGTCTCTACCGTGTGGCAGCAGTAAAAATGCATGAGCCCACAGGGAGAGGGGAGGAGGGAACGCAGGAGAAAATGGTAATGACATTCCAGTGATTTCATGGATATGTAGTGAATATTCGATTTTGCTTCACGTGACTTTACATGATTTTGTATCAAAGTAAAACGACTTTTATACTTTCTAGGAGTGTTTTAGAGTGGTCTTATGTAAGGGGCTTTAACCGTTCAGACCCTCGCGCGCCAAATCTGTAAATTGTATGTATGTACGTATGCATATTGCAGATGGTGGTATACATACGGTGCAGATATATTGCAGTGACTCTGACACACCAGCATTTTGTGTGTCACTATGAGAGAAAAAGAATGCCGCAAATTATTATTTTTTGACAAAAGTTCCCAAGACAACCAAAGCATCTCGAGAAAGAAGAACAAAGCTCGAGGTATCACCGTCCCAGATTTCAAGATATACCACCAAGCTGCAGTAGTCAAAACAGTATGGTGCCGGCACAAAAAAACAGACGCACAGATCAATAGAATGGAATAGCCCAGAAATAAGCCCACACTTATATTTTTTTTTTTTTAAGCCCACACTTATATTGATCTCTGATCAACTGATCTGTGACAAAGGAGGCAAGAATATACAGTGGGAAAAGACAGTCTCTTCAACAAATGCTGCTGGGAAAACTGAACAAATCGTAACATTAAGATGCTATTGATTTCAAGGCTCATCCTGATTTCAAAGATGTTAAAACGTGAGGGGAAAATGCATGTAGGATCCGGTGAAATACAGTCCAGAGAACAGGGAAGTTAATGAGCCTGCTGGACGTCCCCTGTGAGCCTGGCGTCCTGGTAAGGAACCCTGCCTTGCTGAATGTTTTGCCTGCTGAATGGATTACCTCGTTTACTCCTGTAACGACCCGGGGAGGTGGGGACCGGCACCAACCCCCCCGGTTTACAGATTTGGAAAGTGAAACTCCAAAAGGTGAAAGTACCTTCCGCGAGGCCACGTCGCTAGGAGGTGGCTGCCCCAGATGCAGGTGAAGGCCTGATTCTAAGGCCTAGGTTCCTATCTGCAAAGTGAAACGTACCCTGCCTCTCCAAGCAGCACTAATGCGAATGATGAGTGCGCATCTCGCCTGCACCGTTTTGAGGACCTTATGCGTACTGCCTCACCGCACCCCTGTGGGATGGGTATTGTCATTCCCGTGGGACACCCAAGGTTACAGCACCCTAGGGCTGAGGGACTCGTCCGGGGCCCCAGCTCACAAGTGGTGGAAGTTGGACCTGAACCCAGATACAAACTCCACAACCCAGACTCCGCCCACTCTGCCTCCTGAGAAACGCTGGCCACGCTGAGTCCCGTCCAGAATGCTATCTCGGCAGAGCCTTCCTCCCATCAGGGGCTCCTGATTGCTACCCCCAGATTTGCTGCAGTCCTCACTGGGTGCTGTTGTCTTAATGGAGGGAGGGAGGGGAAAGGTTTCTGCACCTTGGAGGGGAGAACCAGCTGGGGAAACAAATATGCATCCTGCCGTCCGTCTGAACCCCAGGCAGAGGCTGTGCGGAGACCACACCCAGGGGCGGTGAGGTCACAAAGCAGAGTGTGTGTGTGTGTGTGTGTGTGTGGCGGGGGGGCGGGGGGGGGGCAGTGCTGTGTCTTTTGCAGGACTGTGGAGCAGGCTCTGCTCCTGGGAATGACATTTAAAGTCCATCCTCCGAGGCACCAGCCTTACATCCTGAGTCCCAGCAATGGCAGCCAAGTCCCCTACACCTGACTCATTCCTGCCTTGGTTTCCCGATCTCCCGGCTGCAGGATGACCATAAAGTCTAGAAGCAGACAGATCATTGTGTGCTGCTGTCAGTAAGCCTACTTAAACGGATCACCTGCATTTTCAGACTTGGGGGTCCCCCTGTATCAATGCTTAGCTGCCCCTTTCTCCCTCTCGGGGATAGATGAGGCAAGAAAACCCACTCAGAAAGAAATGTCGGAGAGCCTGAGTGGCTCAGTTAAGCATCCAACTTCGGCTCAGGTCACAATCTCATGGTTTGTGAGTTCAAGCCCTGGGTTGGACACGCTGCTGTCAACGCAGAGCCCTCTTCGGATCCTGTCTCCCTCTCTCTCTGCCCCCCCCCCCCAATAAATGAACATTTAAAAAAAGAAAGAGAAAAAGGAATGTCAAGTTAAGACAGTCTTCGGGGAGCCTGGGTGGCTCAGTCAGTTAAGCATCTGACTTCACATGATCTTGTGGTTTGTGAGTTCGAGCCCCACATTGGGCGCTGTGCTGTCAGTGCAGAGTCCGCTTCGGATCCTCTGTTCCCCTCTCTCTCCCCTCATCCCCTGCTAGAGCGCTCTCTCAAAAATAAACATTAAGGGGCGCCTGGGTGGCGCAGTCGGTTAAGCGTCCGACTTCAGCCAGGTCACGATCTCGCGGTCCG